TTTACAATCTTTATTAATCCCACTCACTGTAAATATACATGCATTTTGCTGCAAATATCTTCATGTATTTGATCATAGGATGCTGCCCCAGACTTCACTGGGGTATATTTATTAACTTCCTAAAATCCAGAAAAAAAACTTAAATTCTGAAACACATCCAGCCCCACAGGTTTTGGATAAAAGATAGTGGACCTACATTATCTCTGGAGCCTGAACAACCTCTATGTCCCTAAAACAAATGATATCTTCTTAAATAACCACAAGCAAATAACACTCTGTACCTAGAGCAGAGGATTTTAGGATGAAGAAAACATTACCCAGTATGAGGAATTCTTAATCTCAGGAAACAAACTGAGGGTTGCTGGAGTGGTGGGGGGTGGGAGGGATGGGGTGGCTGGGTGATAGACATAGGGGAGGGTATGTGCTATGGTGAGCGCTGTGAATTGTGCAAGACTGTTGAATCACAGACCTGTACCTCTGAAACAAATAATACATTATATGTTACAAACATATAATTACATTATATGTTAAAAAAAAAAGATAGTAGGAAGGGAAAAATGAAGGGGGGGAAATCGGAGGGGGAGACGAACCATGAGAGACTATGGACTCTGAGAAACAAACTGAGGGTTCTAGAAGGGGGGGGGTGGGGGGATGGGTTAGCCTGGTGATGGGTATTAAAGAGGGCACGTATAGCACTGGTGTTATACGCAAACAATGAATCATGGAACACTACATCAAAAACTAATGATGTGATGTATGGTGATTAACATAACATAATAAAATAAAATTAAAAAAAAAAGGAAAAAAGAAAACATTACCTGGTACAGTTAGAAGGGCCCTGCTTTCCCAGAATGTTCCTTTCAAACAAAATCCATTCATGATATTTTATTTACATGTTATACTAGTCAGAATTTTCAAGCTCTAAATTCTAAGGTTTGCTTAAACAAAGCCTATTCTCTTAATTTAGATCATAAATAAATGATTAAAGCTCTTTGGGGGCATTAATGTACCCTGAATCATGCATACCAAATCATCACAGAACTTTTAAGCTAGAAGAGACCCTTGAGAACTAAACTATTACTCCTTCCCTTCCAAACTATTTTATCATCCATAAATTTACTCTCCTCTATGAGGTAAGAATAACCTGCTCTAACTTGTCCTTAGACTCTGTCTATAGGAACACCCGGTGGGTGCATGTGAATAAACTGGGTGGGGTATGCTAACAGACTTCGGATCTAAAAGGATGGCTTGAATCTAACACAATACATCAAATTGTCTCGGTTCACACTTTAGAAAATAACAAGAATTTCCCAGTCCAGAATGAAGAAACACTCATCTAGTACGTGTTTTGTTTTTTTTTTTTTTAAAAACAGCTTAGCTATCTTAATGGACTCAATGAGTCAACAACATAATGTGGCTGCCAAAAACACTACTGTGATTAGGAACTAACTACATCAACAGTAGCATAGCATCCAGAAGGAACGAGGTAACTGCCCTCTCCACCGCAAGCTAGTTAGAGCATATCTGGAGTATTATGTTGAGCTCTGTGCTCCACACTTTGGGAGAGACGCAGAAAGACTGAAAAAGTCCAGAAGAGGACAGTAAGAGAATGTGAAACCATGTCACATAAAGAACAGTTGAGGGAGCTAAAGTTATTTAGTCCAGACTCAGAGGGAACACGATCACTCTCCCCAAACCCCTGAAGAATTATCATGGCACAGAGAGATCAGACTTGTTCCACATGGCTCCAAAGGGCAGAACCAGAACCAGTAGGTGTTAACAACAGAGAGAAAGATTTCAGCTAACTCTTGGAAGTATTTCTTAAAATGTAGAGCCACACTAGGAGGTAGTGGCTTCTAAAGTCCTATCTAGCCCTAAAGACCCATAGTTTAAAAAATCGAACACTTGTCATCACCTTAGTCTCTTACTGCCGGTAACCACCATCCTCTGGCATCAGAGCCTCTTCCTTAACTCTTCTTAAAATGTCCTACCCAGCCAACCAATCAGCCAAATGTTTTGCCAAGTCTGTGGGAGGAAAGTGCCTGTTTGCTGGGCAATTAGTTTCAGTTTGCAGATCGGTGTCCTTATAAACAAAAGAGGGCCCTAATTGAGGGGCAGGCAAGAGCTCTCAGCTAGACCTCTATGACAGAAATTCTTATTAAATCAAAGAGCAGCTAGAAGACCCATCTAATCACATATTATCAATGGCATTCAGTCCTTACAGGAACATTAAAATAAAATACCCAGTACAACCATCTTCCCAAATGCCAGAGAATCCAACTCTGCAAGTTAAACTAGGTCTCTCAAGATCAGCTAGAAGCTTTCCTTCTGTCAAAGAAATTTGTGTACTGTTTGAAGTAGACTAGAACCCATGCTCAGACAAAAAGGCCATCCTTGATTACATCACACTGTAAAGCCAAAACTACATATCAACAGGTCCACAAAGTTCATTTCAGTTCAGCTGCTAAGAACTAGACATAGGCAATCCATAGTGAATTCACACAAAAAAGGTAAGAACTGTGTTAAATTTAAGACACAGAAGAGCTACCAAAGTTGGACACCCTTCTAAAACTTTTGTCACCCAAAGACCATGATAGACATAGGTATATGTTAGTCCATGGAAGTTACTAAAGCCTTGAACAGTTCAGATGGCACATATTAATCAATCCAGCTTTACTTCACTTGAAATTGGATTCTTTGAAACTCCAGCTGAAGTATTGGAGAATATGTCCATGATCGGCTTAACAAGAACACATTCTTCTCTGTGCTTTTTAAACTGAATCCCAGAAGCAATCTAAATGTCCATAAATAAGGAATTGGTTTAAAAAATTATATTATTCTTATACCAAAAAATGCAACTGTTAAAAGAAGAATAAGGTAGATCTTAAGTATGGACATGGAAAAAAAATTCCCAATATATAGTTAAGTGAATACAGCAAGTTGTAAAACAGTATGTGTAGAAGTATTTTGAGTTTTAAAAACTATTTTTAAAAACTGTGTATGTATGTTCATATACGTCCAGAAAAATGTCTGAAAAGAGATCAAACTATTAACAGTAGTAACCTCTAGGGACTAACTGGAACTAGGAAGCAGTAACAGAGTGACTTTCACTTTTTCCTTTGTAGACTTCTGGTTGTTTGTATTTTTTTGGAAGTAAAGGTTAACTTTGTGATTTAAAAATAACAATACAAAAATAATAAAGTTAAAATAATATCAATTACATGGACTTATTTATCATATACTAACCATTCAAAATGAGTGATCTTGCTACTACTTAAATGCTACTGTGTGCTTCAAACTCTGGAAAATGTAATTCATTCTTTTTCTATTATATTTTACTACAACAACTAAGAAATCATCACATTACTACTAGGTTTCTCAAAAAAAAATGTAGTCATAAGGATAACTAACACACGCAAAGTGCTTATTCTGGACCAGGAACTGTTCTAAGCACCATAAATGTATTAACTTAGTTAATCTTCACAGCAATCCTATGAAGTAAGTACTATTATTATCTTCATTTCACAGTTGAGAGAGGTTAAGTGACCTGCTCAAGATTACAGGGTTAATAAGGGGCAGAGCTAGGATTCAAACCTAAGAATGGACTCCAGAGTCCATACTCTCAACCACTATGCTTCCTGTTTCTTAGTAATATGTCAATCTCTCTATACCAAAGCCAAAAAAGGTTACAGTCAAAATCCAGCTAGTTAATATACTCCTTCAAGCTAGAAGAGATGCAAACTTAGCTTTTTATGGTTGGAATAATCTGCATTCCTACTGATGTTAATGCCATGCTCCAACCCAAGATTCAAAACTGTATTAAGACTCATAATCATGTGGGAAAACTCTCTACAAATTCAATTATAGTCCAAAGTCCATACCTGACTCTACAGCAAATCACTGAGCCTAAGAATTAGGTCAGAGATCCATTAATGTAAGTACAGTTTGGCAAATAGTTTGGACAAATCTCCAGCCCAACTTTGGCAAAGGAATTCAGAAACTCTTGTCTAATGTCTTGACAAGGTAGTTTTTATTTGTTTAGTTCCAGGCCCACTTTAGATTAAAAGGAGACAAGAATAGGAGTTGTCTTTAACTTTGCTTGAAGACTTCAATCAGCAGGAAGAAGAGCCTATTTTCTATGTGGACTCAAAAGAGATACTGGCATTTATCAGCATCCTCCAAACTGAACGTTCTAACTTAAGGGGGAAAAAATGGGCATCCCTGCTTAAATTGTGTATTTGTCGAAACATATTGACCTTGTAATTGAGAAAGAAAAAAATGGTGCAAGGAAGGGATTTAACCTAATTTATAGGCATGCTCAACCTAGATACACACCTGTCCCAAATGACCTACTGAATTCACTTATTTGCAGGGAAAACATGGAAACATGGATTACATTTTTTTTTTTTTTTTTGCCTTGGCTGGTCTGTCCTACTGTGGTAAACAAAATCCTCACTATCTCTTCCACCTGTCACGTGCACATCATATATGTACATATATAATGCACATTATATCTATATGCACATTATACACACACACACACACACACACACACACACACACGGAGAAATTAACAAGGAAACGGAAGCTTTGGAAGGAATCCCTTATACTCAGTTTTTGACCCATTGGTTGAAGGAGGTACTGTTCTGGCTTTCAAACTTCCCGAAATAACCCAGGCGGAGAGGCAGGGCGAACGAACCGAACCCAAAAGTTTGCGCCCATTCAGGGTCTCTGACAAAGGCCAGAAAGCCCCGTTTGGAAAGAGACGCGATGCCTTCCACACCGCAGCCGCCCCCCTCCCGGGGAAGCCCAGCCCAGGGGGGACAAAAGACTTTCCAGATTGGGGAAGGGGGTGCGGGCGAGCTGGAGCTCAGACCTCCCCCCTGGGAGTCGAAATCCGGGGAAACTTTGAGGCGAAGAATGATCAATTCCAGGCACTAGCCCAACCCTGGAGGCAGCCGCGGGGCTGGGTGCAGCCGGCGAGGGGCGCGGGGACTCACCTGGGGGAGGGGGAGAGGGGGCCTCGGTGGCAGGTGGGGTGGGCGGGACGCTGCTGCCGCCGGGGAGCTCGGGGGTCGGGCTCAGCCGAGTGGTGGGCGCCGGGATGGTGGTCGCAACGGGGGTGGTCGGCGCCGGGCCAGTGCTCGTCGAGAGGGTGGTCGGCGCGGGTCTGGTTGTCGCGCGAGGGGTGGTCGGAGTACGGTCCACCGCCGGAGGGGCGGTCGGCGAGGGGCTGAGCGGCGCCTGGAAGGTGGTCGTGGCGGGTCCGGCCGTCGCCCGAGGAGGGGTGGTCTCCGGGGATTGGGCTGACGAGGACGCAGCCAGGGGCTGGTGGACAGTAGTGCGCGGCGCTCCGGTCCTCGGGGCCTGGGCCGTGGGAGTCGTCGCCTTAGAGAAAGGGCGACTGGGCTCGCCCCCTAGCCCCGGGCCTGGAGACGCGTCCACCTGCCCCGCGGCCCCGCCGCCACCGGTGACATTCCCCGCCGAGGTTGTTGAGGCGGCGGCGGCGGCGGCGGCGGCGGCGGCGGCGGCGGCGCAGCACAACAGGGCGAGGGCGCCCAGGCTCGGCAGGCTCCTCATGGCGCGCTCGGCTCCGCCATTCATTCATTCAGTCCTTCAGTCGGTCGGTCAGTCATCTTCTCCTCCCTGCGCTCGGACTAGGGAAGCCGCCGCAGCCGCCACCGCCACCGGGCGCACCATCGCCACCTCCCTCTGACAGGCGGCCGGCCCCGCGGGCGGGCCCCAGCGCGGAGGGAGCGACCCGGCAGAGCGCGGACAGCCCGCCCTCCCCGATTGGCAGCCTCGCCCGGCCAATAGAAGGCTACGCTGGCCCACGTGACCCTCCCGCTTCCCGGCCTCTTTGTAGCTCCGCGGACCAATCAGAGGGCGTCGAGGGGAGGGGGCGGTGTTAAGGCGGGAGGAGGGTGGTACGAGCCCCTCTCCAGCCCTTCGGGCTCGCTGCAGCCCCGGCTTTGTCTGCCCAAGGAGTGGGGCGCGGGCCGCGGGCATCGGGCGACGCGGAGCAGACAAAGGATGCGCTCCGCGCGGCAAACGCCGGGCCAAGTCGTCTGCTCCACTGGGCGGCTAGCGCGACCCGGGGCGGGGAATCCGCTCTCGGGAGCTTCCCAGCCCTCTTGAACAATGGGGCGCCGGCGCCGCACCCGGGCTCGGGTGGAGACTGGGCTGGAACCCCCGCAATGGGCGAGGGCGGCAGCAGCGAGCATGTAGAGCTCAGCATTGCTTATGCTGCCCGAGAAAGCCTGGCCTTGGCCCTATGAGGTCTGCACTGCCATTCCCATTTCAGGGATGGGGAAACTGAGGCCCATGCTGAAGGCCCCACTGAGCCAAGACCCACGCCCGGACCAGACACCTGCTGTAGGCCCCGGCGCTGTGCCAGGCAGGACGGGGGTACTAGAGACCCGCCCGGAGCCGAAGGTGCGAGCTTCCTGTATAGTGGAGACAGAATCACGTGCACACTTTACTCTGACCCCGCACCCCCAACCCATCCCCAGAGGAGAATAGGCTCCAACGGGGTTTGGACCTCAGCGTCCTGTTTCCTGCTGAGTGGTTTTGTGGTCTGAGCGCAGTTTTCTCACCTCTAAAATGGGCATGATAGACACGAACACCCCCACACCTCCTGTCAGAGATGATGTGAGAATTCAGTCATGTACTGAAAGAGCCTAACCCAGTCCCCGGCCCGCAGTAGAACCCTCCTTAATGCTAACTACTCGCAGTGTACTGGGTTCGGACAAGCCCCACGCCACAGCCCTGAAGTGTCCCCAGCCGCCTGCCTACAGCAGGGACTGGGGTGGGTCTGATAGCAGAGCTTGGCCCCCGGTGACACCAAACCCTGTATAAAGGTGGAATTCCGACGCGCAGCTTCGCACCATCTGCCCAGGATCCAGAGCCTGCTCAGGCGCTGCAGCTTCCAGGGAGAGCCAGGGGGGACGGGTTTGTCATCTGACAGGGCTTAATCCCAGCCCCGACGCCAACCCATTCCTGGCCTCTCCTACGTGATGCTTGCCTTTGTGCATGGTTTCCCATTAGTCACTGGCCTCCAACCAGAAAGGCAGGATGAGATTTGTATGTGAACTTAGGTATATGTTAATTTAAAAATGCATTTATTCACCTGCCTGAGTAGTAGGTGGGGAGAGGATATGTACACGCTTGTGGATGAGAGCATAAACATCTTTGTGGGTCTGTGTGTGTAAGTATGATATGTATTTGTGTGAGTTTATGAAAGCTAGTGTCTATTTTTGTGTATTGTGTGTTTTAAGTATCTGCACATGTACTGGTGTATGTTTTATGTGTATTTTCTGCAGGGTTTGTTTCTTTTCATTTTGAGCATATATGGGTGTGTGTTGGTAGGTGTGTCTATGTATGGAAGAGGACTGCAAAATGAGAGGGGTGTGTGTAGGTGTTCTGGCTTCAGACCAACATTTAGCAAGTGGAAATCAAGATTCTGTTTTTACTTCTCTTGGGGAAGGAGGTGGACAGGTCAGCCCCTTCCCCATGTTCTCCTGCTGATTCTTCCTAGCCTTTCAAACCCCAACCAAAATACCATATCCTCTAAGAAACTTCCCTGGATCTCTGAGTGGGAATTAAACACTCCCTTCCCATTTGCCCACGGCCCTGGGGTTTATTCATTGATTATAGCCCCAATCTATCAATCTACCTCTCCCCTGCCTCTTCCTAAAAGGATTAAGAATGGCTTCCAGAAATATATACAACAGGATAAATGGAACTGCCCACCCGGCTTTTCTACTTCTCACAGGCATGCATCAGCCTTAATACTAGAACTTGCAATTTATGTGTCTGTCTCTCCCATTAGGCTGTTCTCTCTGTTCTTAGTGCCTAGCAGGGGTAATACGTGTGAGCACTAATCCATGCTGATAAAATTGAATTAAATTGAAAAGAGATCCTGTGGTGCCATGGAAAGAGCTCATAACTTTAGAGTCAGACAGATCTGGCTCATGACTTTGCCAGATGTGTGACCTTGGAGGACATCTTTTACCTCTCTGAGTCTCAGTTTTCTCATCTATAAAGTGGGGTCAATAAATTCTGTCTCACTTATTTGAGCTGAAGATTGAAGAGAATGTTTTCACAGAGCCTGGTATACAGAAGGTGCTCGACCTGTATAGGTTCATTTTTCCATTATAGCAATGCTAACTTTGAGCCTTGCAGGCTGAAGGATCACAACAAATTCCTCTGTGTCATAGCTTCCCCATCAGGTGACATGGCCTGACAGTTGCCCTACCAGCTATCCGCAAGTGATAGCTGAAAAATGCTGGGCTGGTCCTAAGATGTGCTAGATCAGAGATTCTCTGGCAGGTGGGGAGAAAAGCTGATGCAGCTTCTTGGCCTGGAGAATCACAGAGAAAGACTAGAAGTCCTTACCAAAGTGATCCAGGCCAGCACTCAGCCTCTCTCTGACAGGGATATGCCCAGGGCTTCTAAAATAGGTTAATTACCCTGTAATATCTCTAGAAAATGTTGAATTATTTTGAAAGATACTTTAAGTGTATAAATGTCAATTCATTCACCATTTAATTCTTTAATATTTTTGCTCTGCCTCTATCTCTAAACCATAAGATAACATTTTTTTTCCATTTCTTAGGAATAATATTTTGTGTTTAAAAATCAGAAGCACCGGGCGCCTGGGTGGCTCAGTTGGTTAAGCGACTGCCTTCGGCTCAGGTCATGATCCTGGAGTCCCGGGATCGAGTCCCACATCGGGCTCCCTGCTCAGCAGGGAGTCTGCTTCTCCCTCTGACCCTCTTCCCTCTCGTGCTCTCTATCTCTCATTCTCTCTCTCTCAAATAAATAAATAAAATCTTTAAAAAAAAAAAATAAAATAAAAATCAGAAGCACCAGGGGTGTGTGGATGGTTCGGTTGGTTAAGCGTCTGCCTTCAGCTCAGGTCATGATCCCCAGGGTCATGGGATCCAGCCTGGGTCCAGCTCCCTGCTCAGCGGCGAGTCTGCTTCTCCCTCTTCCTCTGCCCCTCCCCCCTCATGTTCTCTCTCTCTCTTTCTCTTTCCCTCGCTTGCTCTCTCTCAAATGAATAAAAAAATTTTAAAAATCAGAAACACCTTAAATATCCAGTATTAGACAAAGGTATTATTACGTCTGTTCAATTTAATCATATAAAGTCATTGTAAGGGTGGCTCTGAAGACAGTATAGTTAAATATTCAAAATAGATCATTGAGTACTTTCTGTGTGCTAGACTTTACACTAAAAGCTACACATAAAATATTTTGTTTAATCCAACAAAGAACCCCAGGAAGTAAGCACTATTATTATCCTTGTTTTACAGATAAGGAAACTAGGGCACAGAGAGGTTAAGCCATTTGCCCAAGGTCACTTAGTAAGTGATAGAGCCAGAAATCAAACTGAGGCTCGTCAGCTCCAGTAGTTCCCTTAACAATTACGCTGTAAAGGGAAAATGCTATGATATAATGTTAAGAAGAAAAGAGGGGAGACAATTACAGCTGTGTTGCTATGTGGCACTTTTCCTGTTGCTCCAGAACTGTGGCTAAGACCCTGGGCTCTAAGGAGAGCTGACAACCCGCCCATGACAACACAGGGCCGCTAGACTTAATAATGAGGGGCCACAGAACAGCTGGGGTCAGAGAGGAACTTGTCAGAGCAGATGAGCAGCCTGAACTTTCTCCTGTAGGCAATGGAGATGCTGTAAAGTGCCCCACCTGATTCCTCTTTGTATACTCCGTACCCAGCACAATGTCATATACGCAGGAGTGGCTCAAGGATTTGCTGGTGGAGGGGCACCTGGGTGGTACAGTGGGTTGGGCAAGCTGACTCTTGGTTTCAGCTCAGGTCGTGGTCTCGGGGTCGTAGGATAGAGCCCCCCATCTCTCTCTCCTCCCTCTGCTCACCCCCTGCCCTGCATGCTCTCTCTCTCTTTCTCTCTCAAATAAATAAATAAATCTTAAAAAAAAAAAAAAAGGAACTGTTTGTTCAACTAAATGGAGTCTTACCAAGTGGCAAACACCGTCCTAGGGGTTTTGCATTCATAACATATTTATTCCCCAAAGATAGGGCTGTCCTCATACTTGAAAGAACAGGAAGCTGAGCCTCTGAGAGGTGAAGGGATTTGCCCAAGATCTACCCAGCTCCAAAGCCCAGGCTGTTCTTGACACTCCTCCATCCCCTGATGTGGCCACTATGTATCACACATAGTAAGAGGTCGATGAACACATACTGAAAAAAAGGACACACACACATGAAATTTTACCCTCCTATAAGAGCAGAATTTAAGAAAAGAAAATCTTTGGGAGTATGAAAAGAAGAGAAAACATAATAAAATAATAGATGCAGCTCAGCAAAATAACTTCATCTCCCAGATTCCAATAAAACATGGAAACTTTCCCCTTTCTAGTTTCATTCAAACAGCAATGCTGACATGGACAATTTCTAATCCTGCCAGAGCCTGGCCTCCTATCAGATGTGGCTAAATGCAAGATTTGGCATCATCTGCAGACAACTTTAGGATTATTGGGGCCACTATTAACAGTCTGCCCGGCAAAGGACACTAACAGAAAACTCACAGAGGGAAGTAAAAATGGCTAAAAACATGAAATGCTGTATATTCAACTTAAGTAATCAAAGATTTGCAAATTGACACAAAGAGTTACTTTTTTTTAACCTGAGTTGGCAAGAATTTTTAAAAACTGATATTTGCTAATGAGGGAGTGCCTCAGTCTGTTAAT